AATTATTAAGGAATGTTATACAAGGACAACGTTAGCATTAGTATCATCATTTGCAGAAATAAATATCGTTAATATTTTTAATATATTGTTATTTAGAGTGGTTAATTTCATATATTCATGTCGTAGAGGTGTGGAGGAGCACCTACCACTGAAGGCATTTGACAACCACGTCGAACTAAAAGTCGAACAGATGGTCCACCATTTCTTATAATTTCGATAGCTTCTGTATGTGTCATATTTTTAGTATTAATTCCATTTATTTCAATTATTTGATCGCCGACCTAAATTTATATTAAAATATCATCATTTATATATAATCATATTCTGATAATATTATATTTATATTATATTTACTCTTAATCGATTATCAATAGATGCTGGACCATTTTCTGCAATTTGTAAAACAAATAATGGCATATTTTGAAATTCACGTCCTCCACGAATACTAAAACCAAATCCTCTAGTTCCACGAGTTAATTCAACAGCATGATATTGTCCTCCATCTCCATCACATGTTGGTTCATCCTGAAATAAATTATTTAAAACTGTATTTATAATTAATTATGTATTATATTAATATATATACGTAAATATTATATTATATATATTTAAGATTTATAATTATAAATTATTTTAAAGTTAAGCAATACCTTTTGAGATAGAGATGTATTACTGCAACAATCATCAAGAGGGTAACCAATTGTTAATGTAACAGAATAACCCGAGTCTTTAATTAAATTCACAATATCTTTATGACAAACATTTGTAATATCTACATGATTGACGGCAAGAATATGATCGCCAACATTTAATCGCCCGCATCTTTCGGCGGGTGAACCTTCAATTATTCTACCTATTGTCGAACCAGCTTTATTAACTGAAGAAATAATAACAAAACCAAAACCTTCATTTTCCATTCTAGTGACCGTTACATCATAAGGATATTGAAGATTCATCTGTCTATTATATGACGTTTGGAGATTTTCTGGAAGATGTTCTTGGGTATTAATTCGGCGACGAATTCCCAAAGTGACTCTACCATTCTGAGCAGCAGCTATCATTAATTGTACAACATGATGATGTGACGAATTCATAACACTCTCACCATCAACAGACATAATGAGATCACCTGTATTTAATCTATTATCTAAGTCTGCTGCTCCACCAGGTACTATATGTCCAACTGAAACCTGCTGACAATTAGATAATCAATATTTTTGATTTCCTTTAATTAAGATATAAGCAACTTTCTAACTCACTTGAGATCCTTCCTCAGTACCACCAACTATTCTAAATCCAAATCCTGTATCTTGTCTTATTAAAGTTACTAAGGTTTCTATCCATTCTATATCAGGCACAATCGGACACACTAATTCGTTGCTATATTGAGGATACCTAAAATATAAAAATTAATTTTATATTTGAAAACAAATTGAAATAGAAAATTAATAAATTCATATTATCTACCGTGGTATTGAACTGGAATGTGGTTGTTCATGCTCAAAACTAGTAGTCTCTTTTCGTTTATCCCATATTTCACCAGTATCAACATTTTGTTCTTGACCAATAGAATATACATTATAATCTTGTTCACTATACTGAGAATGTGATTGTGATGTATATAAATCTTTATAATAATCTGAATGTAAGCATCCATTTTGTTTTAACATATTATCATGGTGAGGTATATCAATAGAATATACATCATTATTTATGTTCAATTTTTCATTTGTAACCCAATCTCTTTTTGTACCATTTCTTACAGAATCATCATCTAAATTTGTCATTGTAACAAAATTATCAGATAAATTTGTAATATTTGCTTTATATGGATCATTATAATATATGTTATGTGTGTATTCTGAATATTTGTATCTGTTATCAAGTGGATTTAATTCATTTTCGTTTTGTTCATTCCAATTTGATCTAATTGCACTAGATGGAGATTTTGGACGATTTCTAGTATCAATAAGTGGAGTTTTTGGTCGACTTGGTACAACAGTTTTTGTTTGAGTGCTATAAATATCAGCTGTTGGTGTTTTACTTCTAAAAAAATCTTGTGAATTTTTTTCCTTTTTTTCGTTTAATTTTAATGTTGTTCTTTGTACATGTATTAGTGCCTCTTTATTGCGAGAACAATCTTTTAAAACTTGTACTACTTCTGAATGACACATATTTCTCACATTAATATCATTTATATTAACTAAAATATCACCTTCCATTAAATTTTTACAACGTTGACGGTCTAAAATCTTTTTAACTTTTTGACCATGAGCAGAATCTGCTATTGTAAATCCAAATCCCATAGTACCTTTCACAATTGCAATACTGAGAAATTCTGGTTTGGAAGACGTTGATGAATCTTTACAATCATTCAAATCACTGTTTTCAGATAATAAAATATCTGTACTACTAGGTCTTTTAATTGTATTAATTTTATCCGAAATACAAAGATCTGGCATTGAATTGACAGAAGTTGTGGCAAGATTTTCACCATTTTGAAGATTATGTACTGGCAAGAATGTAGAATCCAGAAAATTGAAACGACTATTATTTTGCAAAGCAGGATCCAAATCCATGTATAATCTAGGATCTTCTGTTAAAATATCTGAGAAAATAAAATTTATTCTTCTAACAAAAATATATTATTATTTGATAAAATTTTTACCTGGAGTATTTACAGCAATAGTTGTAACCACTTCTGTGTTTGGGTCATTTGGATCAAATGGTAATGGATAACCACGACACACTTCTAATGTAACAGTTTCGCCACTGCTAATTGATTTGAAAACACTTACCATTTCATTATGTGTAAAACCCAGAACACATGTATCATTAACATAGACTAATACATCTCCTGTAATGAAATTTCAAATTCAAAGAATCTAATGATAAAAAACAATGATTTTATATTACCTGTTTGCAATTTTCCATCTAACCATGCTGGACCATTTGGTACAACACTTTTAATTTGTAAAAATTCTTCCACTGAATCATCTCCACCAACAATTGTAAATCCTAATCCTCTTGTACTCTTTATTAAAGTTGTTCTTATTTTTTGGCCTTTTAATTTGTCAGGATTTCTTGTAAAATTAGGACTCTTTCTTTCTCCTAAATTTTGTTGTGCCCGTTTGGCTTGCAATACAGGATTTTCATATTGAGTTCTACGATTTACATGATCAATGAAATATGTACCATAAAGAGTGTCATCTATTTTCTCCCAACCATAAGGTAATTCATCATCTAAACATTCTTCAAGGGATCTTTTTTGAAATTTAGATAAACGTGGATCTAACCAGTGAGAAGTACCTGTATTGTGACTGTAAAATAATCATATTTTATAAATATATATAAATTATTTAATATTATTTAAT